TTTTCTTCATTATGTATCAGTGTTTTCTCACCTAATTCTGAATCTGTTTCATTATCTCCAGTCATTTCATCTTTAAATTGGCAAACAATTAAACTGCTATGTGTTTAGAGTATTTGTTGCATTTATTGCACTTGTTCAAGAAAGAGGTATATTTCATTTAAAATTAGGTGAGCTGCAACTTTCTATTGCAGGGTCTAGTCAGAGAATAACTGGTGAAGAGAAAAGACAGACTTGAAAAAAAGGTAAAATTGTCTTTATTTACAACTATATAAATGTAGAAAATTCTATGGAAACTACAAAAAAAGAATATTAGTAGAAATTTTGGCAAGTTCTCAGGATATAAAGAAAAGTCACTTATATTTCTATATATTAACAAACCATTGGAAACTGAAATTAAAAATACCATTTACAATCGCATAAAATGTGAAATAATTAGAAATAGTTTTAACAAAATAAGAGCAAGAACTTTACACGGAGAGCCACAAAATAGTGCTGAGTGAAATTAAAGACTTAAAAAAAAATGGAGAGATATACCATGTGCATGTATTGGTTAGACTCAATATTGTTAAGTCAGCAATTGCACCCAAACCAATCTATAGATGTAAATTTACCTCAATAAAATACCAGCACTTTTTAGTACAAATGGAAAAACTATTCTAAAACTTATTTAGAAATGCAAAGAACTTTAACTAGCTAAAATAAGCTTGACATTGTTGAGGAAAATTAGAAGCATTACTCAACCTGGTTTTAAGACTTTCTCTAAAGCTTCAAAACCAAGACAGTATGGTGTTGGAATAAAAGTATGTATCAACTCATGGAACAGAAGAGAGTCTTGAAATAAGTCCAGGTGTACGTGATCAATCGATTTTATGCAGTGGTGCTGATGTAGACAGTTTTCCAGCAAATGGTGCTGGAACATTTACATATCTATATTCAAAATCCTGATTCTCAATCTTCAACTTGTAACATCCACAAAACTTAGCTAGAGAAATTATAGGCATATTCCAGGAGAAAACATAAGGAAAAAAATCTTTGTGACCTCGGATTATGAAAAATTTCTTGAATAAGACAAAAAATTATGAATAAGATTAAAAAAATGGTGAATTTATTCAACCAAATGAAAACTTTTGCTTTTTAAAAAGATATAATAGTTGGGCCCTTCCTGATGGCACAACGGGTTAAAGCACAGCACTGCAAGCTAGCAGCAGCCATCTCAGTGTGAGTTTGATCCCCAGCTCTGGAGCTGACCCACATGGTGCAGCAGACCTCTCCTGACCTGCCCACTGCTCTCCTCAGCAGTGTCCATCGTCAATCTGCCTGTTCTGCTTCCCACTCTGTCTCAGGTGAGTCCTCTCACTGCCCTCGCATCTCTGGCCTGCACCCCAGTTCTGCATGCATGAATAAATAAAATCTTCAAAAAAAAAAAAAAAGATAGTGAAGAAAATTAAGAGATGAGATATATAGACAGGGAGAAAATTTTACAAATCATATATGTATCCAGATAAAGAATACTTACAACCTAAGAAGATAATTACAAAATGGACAAAACAGTTGGACACTTACCAAAAGAATCTGTATAAATTACAAATAAACGTGAAAGATGCTCAAGTTCATTAGTAATTAGGGAAATACATAATTTTTAAGCCACCTATTAGAATTACTAACATGATAATACCAAATGTTGGAGAGGAATTGGAGCAAATGAAACTCATACACTGCAAATGTAAAATGGTAGAATCACTTTAGAAACTAATTTGGAGGTTTCATAGAAAGTTAAATTTGTTTCTAAATGACTAGAGAATTCTACATTTAGTTGTACCTAAAAGAAATGAAGATATATGTCCACAGGAAGGTTTGTACACAATGTTTATAGAAGCTAGAGCCATAATAAACTAAAATGTGAGGAAAATATGGATGCCCATCAACAGTGGTGGATAAACAAATTTTATGATTTTTTTTTTATGTTTTAAGAACAGTGAAATACTTGTTCAGTAATAAAAAGGAATGGATGACTAATCACACAACATGACCGACTCTCAAAGCATGCCGAGCAAAACAACCAGACCAGAAGAGCACAGATGCATGACTGCATGAACATGAAACTCTAGGAAAGACCACTGCTCCCCGCTCAGCAGTGTACTTTGTCCATCGGCCTGTTCTGCTCCCCACTCTGTCTCTGGTGAAGCCTCTCACTGCCCCTGCACCTCTGCCTGTACGCTAGTTCGGTATGCACAAATAAATAAATAATTAAAAAAAGAAATCACTGGCTAGTGGAAGAGAAAGACATGCTAACACATGTCTTTCATAGACTTAGGGTATCAGGAGAATTCAGAGAGAAGTAGTCTTTCCTGAAGATTCATTTCCTGAGTTGAGTTTCGAGCTGCACTAAGAGTCTGATAGAGAAGGGAGACAAGGTATTCTAAGCAGAGGGTTTTATGTGAGGAAAGGACTGAAGGTGAGAGACCTACCATGTGTGTTGGGGACATCAGGCAGCTTAGTAGGTCTGGAACACAGAATGCATTCTTGTAAGGTCCTGGTGTGTTTTGATGGAGAAAGTTTTAAAAGATTTCTTTAGTTTAACCTATTGTAGACAGAGGTCCTATATCAAACAATGATACCCTCATTGCTTGGATCACCTGAAAGGGAAAGTCACCTCGCCTTGAGATCCTAACCACAGTAACGAGGATATTTTGGCTCATGTGACAGAATGGCCCAGGGATGGAGTGTGATGTGGGATCAATGATTTCTACAGAGCAGCTGTTCACTTTCCTTTCAGGGGCTGCCACATCTCCAGACAGACCCTGGATTCTCTCTCTCTCTCTTCATATCTAGCTTTCCTGAAAGATTCAACCAAAGTCATTGGTCTTAAATTTTACCCTGTGGCCAGAAGGAGAGCCCATGTTGCATGGCCTGGTCAATTTAGAAATCCCAGGTGGGAATTGGCCTTATCTGAAGCAGATGGAGAGGAGGTAGATGTCCAAATCAAAATTAAAGCTTTTGTCGAAGTAAAATGGGGCTAACAATAATGTCCATTTCATAGAGTTGGTATGGTAACTGCTATTATTACTCCCACTGTAAAAGTGTATTTTAATATACAGCTATAGACTGTATTAGTATATAGCTATATATTGTACTTTATAGCTATATGTTGTGTTTAATATCTACTTATATTAGCTGCAGCAGTATACTTAGGAACCAACTTTCTAAATCATTTTGAAGATTCTTGCCATTCATTTCCTAAACTTCCAGAAGGTAGGCAGGGGCTACACAATCGCCACTGGGGATGGATGAGACCCTGTTCCAAATACAAAGATTGCTGTGCCATGGCCCAGACATTTTTATAGACACAATCTCAAATTATCAAATAAACTCATACAAATGCTGACACAGTTGGGTATCCTGCATACATGATCTTCTCCTACTTTACCTTAAAATGTCATAATCAAAATTGTCAATGACATAGTGTATTTGCTTGATGCTTTTTGGAATTAAAAAAAAAATCACTCTCAGGGCCCTCCCTGGCGGGCCCAACACTAAGAAGCTAAAGCCACTTCAGCATGAGTTTGACCCCGCCCCAGAGGTGACCCACATGGCGTGGCAGACCTCTCCTGGTCCGCCCGCTGCTCCCCTCAGCAGTGTACCTCGTCGATCTGCCTGTTCTGCTCCCCACTCTGTCTCTGGTGAAGTCTTTTGCCACCCTTGAGTCTCTGGCCTGTACCCCAGTTCTGTATGCATAAATAAATAAATTTAAAAAAATCACTCTCAAATATGTTTTCTCATTTGGTCTCCCTCAACCCTGTAAGGTAACAACAAATAAAATAATTTCCTACTGCCTGTCTCTGCCTCCAACATGAAAGTGACACAGTCAAACCTTGCTTACAGAATACAGAGGAGACAGTAAATTATCAGTCAAATGTTCTTCTATTAGATTGTTATATTGCTACTTTGAAAAAAGGCTTATGAGTATGTTTCTAAAGAAAAGAAGCCAAAGATGAGCATTCTGTAGACATTTGACCTTCATCACTTAAAGCCCTTTCTTCCCAATGTTTTGTCCTCATTTCTTCTGAAAGAGGGAAGGAGGAACCTGAGTCACAGGTATCCTTGTGGAAAGTGTACGCTTGCCCACACGGAACGGCAGGGCGTGATTATAACTGCATCACTTAGAGAGAAATGCAATTGGGCTATTCAACACAATCACTGGATAAGTTATTATTGCTCTGTAATAACAAATATGCTCTGATGAATAAGAGCATATAACATAGATTTTGAAATTAATAATGAGCTGGATCAAATCCTACCACACATGTAATTCTGTGCTAAACTGCATACATTTCCTGATATATACTCTCCAAATAAAAGACTTGGGAAATACATTTAGATAAAACTAATACCATTCTAGACATTGAATAAGAGTATCAAATTATTGATAGAAAGTTTTGTGGAAATGATCAGCACTTTCAATCTAAATTCAAGACAATGGTTTGCAGGCTTCCCCCACCACCACCACCACCGACACATCCTATTATTTTATATTACAGAAATGGCAAGTTTATAGTGAGTAATATAAAATGAGACCCTTCATTTATGACAGCGACCAAAATAAGACTGATCTCTGGCATAATGCCATCAGTTTTAGAATCAATTAGATGTAGATACCAGAAATTGTACCTACTTGGCGTTTCCTTCAGTTGCTTCGCCCTAGAAAATCTCGTTAAATCATGCTTCAGCACGAGTGGACATGGTTTTGATTTTTCATTCCCTTCACTGAAACCTTGGGTGTTCTCTTTGTATACTTCCAAGGTAACAGAATCTGGCAAAAGGCCTCTGCGGGTTTTCTAACCAAGTCTTCTAATCAAGAGATGGGAGGTTGACATGTTTGAAGGGATCACTCAGTCATTTTCTGATATATTTTTAGGAAGTGATGAAAAAAAATACTGTCAGATGGAGACAAATGCATTTTACTTTTCCAGTATAGACCTTTAAGAGAGAAAATAAAGTAGAAAAGGATCTAGAAGATCTCTGGTGAGAGAAAAGTTAAGAACACCAAAGCACATTTGAATTCCTACTTAAAGGGTTTTCTTTTTCAAGTCTTCCCACATCCTACCCCACCCATGACTCTGAGTGAAAAACAACATATAGGGCAAAATGATACAGATAATTTAGAACTGACATGAGAGAATTGTCCCAGAGACAAATGACCTCTCCAAGTTTATTACAGTATTTTTGTCTTATTGCATATGTTACATGCCTTTTATAAAGTCATATATATATATATATATATATATATATATATATAATGCTCAGTTAGCAGAAACACATCTATTGCTTCTCTGTTGAAAATCAGCAGCATGCCGTGCAATATTTGGTGTGCAGAATAATTGTTTCAAAAAGTGAAAAACTACTTAGGTTTAACTTAGGAGGGAACATGATCTTTATTGGCTTATATGCAAGGTTTAATTTTGGTTTTATGCAGAGTTTGCATAGTTCATGATTAGTTTCTAATGAAAAACTAGATGTGTTGTCAGTGACCTTTAGAAGATTAAGTGACAGTAGCAAACAGAAAAATCTGAAGAAGAGGCATAACTTTTAAAGTAGAAAGATCAGCAAGAACTGCCTGAAACAAAAAAACAAAAAAAAGTATTAATATCAGTATGTTAATCAGCAAAGAGATGTCTATGAAATCAAGTAGAACAGAAACACCATTACAATGTAATTGTGGCTTTGACACATTCTAAGGTCTTCAGATTTGTCCCAACACTCTGTACTTAAGCTACAACTTTCTATCTCTTTTCTAAAATCTTAATGTTAGAACATGTACAAAATGCTAAAATGCACAGTAGAAAATAACCTGGACATCAGCCTTGAGCCTTTTTCAAATATACACAGTAGCATGGGTTTATAGGAGGTCTAACATTTCAACTTGCTTCTATAAATAAACGTACATTATGAATCTTAGTCCCGTTATACTAGTATCAGGAGTAACTGACTTCAGGAAATCATTTTGAGATGGAACTCATGTTTATTCAGTTGCAAGATGCATAAACATCCTCTTCCCTTTAAACAAAGAATGTAGGCAGCTATTTTAAGAGTAAAATTTACATTTCTATGAGATGACAAATAGGGTGACACAGTAAACTGCTATTTAATTGAACCCTGTTTTAGGTATAAATCATGATGCTGAAAAGAAACCAGTTTTAAATAATTCGCTCACAATTTAAAATAAGCAAAAAATCCTATGTCTGTTTACTACGTCATTCAAACACTGCTCTTTGACTCTCTCAAGGCATTTTTTCTTTGTTCTATGAGTATAATACATGGACAAGAGTGATAAAAAAACCCCACAATATAAGCGCCAGTAATTTCCATTAAGATATCTAAGTATCTTGTTTCCCATAATGGTTTGAATGGTTTTCATAATAATCTTGTTCATAACTCTGTCACAAAAAGATTGTTTTCAAGTAATTAAGAAATTTTGAATATTTAATATTCCTTGGCTCGGGACTTCAAGGTTTTACCCAGGTCCAAAAATCAGGCTCTGGCGACGTGTGTCCTATGCATCTGAGCTAAAGCGCCTGAGCTGGCGATCTGCCAGGAACTATTTCCATCCCATCAGAGTGAAACTTATCCTTACTTCAGCTGCAGCCAATGATGTCACCTCCATCAGGTTCACTGCTCGGAAAGCAAACACAGCAGCTGCCAGAACTGGAAAAGAATGCACACTATTTTAACTGCTGACCGGTTTCTCGGCCGCAGGCTTGCTCGATGCCCACAGCCCACCGTGGGGCTCAGAGGCAGTGCTTTCAAGGGCTGCATGCAGGCCTCTGACAGAAGGTCTGGGAAGAATGAAAGTGGTTACCTCGAGGCCAGCGGCCGAGAGCAAGATTACAGAGTCCACAATGTTGGGGGAAAGGAACATTCAATGGGGCTAAAAGGCCAATTAATAACTTGTTTCGTTCATACCTACAACTTAAGTTAGAACAGTTTTCGAAGAGCATGACGAGCTAGTGACTGATAGTTTAAGGTTACTTCTTATGCAGGTGTTTCTTACTAATGTAGGCGAGAGGCTTCTAGAAGCTTATAGACTGAATTTTTAAATAGATCATTTTCTATATGTATTGAGATGTGTCCTGATAGAAGCATCACCATAAAGGCGTTCTTTAAAAATGTTTTTATAATATCTTGTTACATTTATGTTTTTTATGCCCAGCACTGATTTTCTTAGTGTCACCAATGGGTATGATTGTGGGGAGGACTGTGGTGGCACTTATCCTGAGATTTACAGTAATGTTCACAGGATTAAAAAAACCTTCTTCAAAAACGGACATCTTGAGGGTGAATAATATCTAGTGAATAGAAAACGACATTTCGATTTTTGTTTCCACTACACATCTGCATATTAGGAGAGAATGAAGCGACCATACTATACTTCCTATCTAGTCCGTGTGAGAAAGATGCATCTGGAGCAAAGGGCCCATAGAAGAGGTGGCAACTCTGAGGAGGAGCTGTTACTGCCTGAGATGAGGTTGGGCTTCTCCCCTTTTCACCTAGCACCAGTGAGTGGTGGGAGTACACCCTACTTAACAAGTTCTTAAAGTTCAGTAAATGAATGATAAGAATCTTCAAAATGGTGTGGAAGACTGGTTCCTAAGTGAATAGCCACCGTTAATGTAAACGGACCTACATTCAAGCACACTGTGAGCTGGGACACCTGCCCAGAATAATAAGAGCAATGATCACAGCAACTCTAGGTGGTGAGTACTGTTGTTAGTACTCACACTTGACAAATGTGGAAACTGAGGCACAGTGAGTTCATGTGACAGGATCAGTCACGAGGATGGGAAATAGCAGGATGAGGGCTCAGCACTGGCTCTGGGGCCTGAACGCCTAGTCTCTAGTGATGACTCTGAGATGGCTTTAAGCGCGACGACTCCTCCCTGACATGAGAACTGCGTGTTTCCCCAAGTGTCTTCTCTACTGTTCTTCAAAATCATTTTCCAGGGCTGGCATGAGGAGAATGTCAAGGCGGCACAGGGACCTGACAGGCACGTGGCTGGGCCAGGGGAGTAGAAGTGTGGCTCAAGGCCTCTAGTTCCCCCAGGGAGAGGCAGTTTAGTGGTGCCTGTGAAGCACAGGCCTTTATTTAGGACACAACAATTTTGGACAATCTGGCAAAAAGTATTGGAATTAGTTAGAGAGGAAAACCCTAGGGTAAAAAAGATGGTAGTGATAAAACAAAATTTTAAAACTCAAATCAGCTGGGACTATTTAAAATGTAACAGGGATGGAAGTGATCTGGGTCAAAGGATTCACCCTTTAATTGAAAAGTAGAAAACTTAAGTACTGTCAAGTACTGAGCTCCTACGTTTACAAGATTAACAAAACCATTTCTGTTGACCAGTAACTTCTTTATAGTTTCCTAATATCTGCAATAATATTTGACAATGGGGCCATTTAGAAACTCAGTAGCGTGATTACTACTTCCTGTTATGTGTATAAGTTAACAGAGTAGGTAAAAGCTGACAGGATGGTTAAATTTTTTGCTGTGGCAGGAAAGAGGCGGGAAATTGTTTTTCCAATGGTAGATAAGGGCGGGGGTGGGGTGTGGGGGTGAGAAGATCAGTTCACTAATTGACCTCGTATCCAAAATGCTTATGTGCTCATACCCTTTATTTATCTTGGTGTCACATCACAGAAGTTCCTTCCCATCTGCTTCATGTTTGGTTTGCCCAGCCCTTACACAGAGCACACTTGTTGGCAGGGAGAAAAGGCATATACTTTGGGATATTTTCAACTGAAATCATGCTTCATATGAAATACAGAAACTTTAATATTACTTTTGATATTTTAAACCATTCTTATTACTTTAATTTGAATCAATCCTATGAACATTAAGGCAACTTTGCTTTAAACTCTTCTACAAAAGGCCTAGTTATCTAAAAATCCAAGCTAGTAATGGTTATTAAATATTTCTAAGGCTATCAGAACTCACTTGAGCAAAAGAAGTGGACCCAACATATTCATACCAAAATAAAGCATGAAATAATTAAAACAAATCTGTAGCCATCTACAAGGAATAACCTACTGTGTGGCTCTTCAGCCGAGTATCACAGGAAGGGGAATCTCATCAGTCCAGTTCCAATTGTGATGTTATACAATTCTTCCCCACTGACTAAGATGAGGAAGAATTGTATGTGGACTGCATATCCACACTTCTCATTCACTGGTAACCTTTCTAATCAATGTATTGTGGTACTAACAGAATGCCTGGCTTACAGTGAATGTAATACTCAAACATTCATTATTGCTTTTTTACTTCATTTTAATGAGTGGCAATATGTCACCAAAATAAATAAATAAATAAACTGGAGAGACCTTGACATCTTAATTCAACATTTCTTTCATAGAAAATTTCTTAACTCTTCAGGTAACAATTAACAAGTCCATTCTAAAAGTCTGAACACTTTTTTATACTAAACCCCTTCCTTTTGAAATGATACAAAATGATCTGTACTTTAAGATTTATGACATATCCAGAAGAATTCGTTGACGGAACCTCTAAAGTTCTGTCACTTGAAAAATGGGAGCAAGGAAACAAGGCTACTTAGCCTGAAAGACTTTGGGGGAACAAGAGAAGCAAGGCAAAAAAAACCAGATGATGACCCTGGTTTAAATAGCATGTGTTTTACAAACAAGCACTTTACTCTTACCAGCAAGAATTTCCAGAGAGTTGTATCCAAGGATTCTATCCCACAAAAGCAGGAGCTGATCTGTTGCTAAGTATCCAGAGAAAGCTCGGACCATCCACTTAAATGATATGCGAAGTCTATAAGCAAGGAAGAAGAAAGTAAATTTTACAAGTGTAATGTTTCCAAAAGGCAGTATCAGAAGGGCCCAGTAAGTTCTATTCCTACATTTCAAATGACCACAGAGGACAAATGAAGCAACAGGTAGAAGTTTTTGAAAACAAAGAAATTTAACAATAAAGGATCTTAGATTTCTGGTTTCAAATCATGTATGTGAAAATGAAGGTTTTTAGAACTCTGAAAAGATCAACCAGTAAATTCAACTGAATTTCATTTTGCAAAAAAACAAACCCCTAAAAGGTATGAGATTGCACTACTTGTAAATAGGTCATGTTATAATAGCAATTTATCTCTGGAATCAGGAAACAAACTCTTTGGTTTTGGGGCCTTAAAAGATAAACTAGCCCCTACATTCCTGTACTATCAATAGCATCTAAACATCATTTGACTGCCACTGATAGCCAAATTCTTTGCTGGAATTATTACAATAATATATAGATAAATATCTGTGCTATTTTCTTAAAAGAGAGAAAGAGATCCAGGGATTGTCCTGGTTAGTGTCATATTAATTCTCTTATGACTAGAAAAGACCTGTGTGTTGAAGAAATTCCATAATACTGGCTAACTCTTATTCTAACATAACAAAGTACATGTAGGTAGTAGTTCAGACAAATTAAGCGTTTGCTTGTTTTTAGAGTGTTTGTAGAAGCCACTAAAACTTGTATCACTGGATATTTTAAATTAAAAAAATTCATTTGATAATTTTACATCTAAATTATTAACTTGGCCTAATTTTACTGGATCTTTCAGGATATCTTTTTAGAACAATAGTAACACACATCATGAGCCCCTAGACAGGTAGATTAGAATCAGTATCTTAAAAATAAAGTTTACTGAGTATAACTTATGCCTAGTAAAGTTTGTTCTTATTAATACGAACCAAATACTTCAGAAGTAAAAGTACAGTAACAAACACTGTGAATGACTCTAATAACAAAACAGAAGTGACTGTGGAAAGAGTCAGAGAATTTGAATATAAACAAATAGTGAGTGTAAATTCTGAAGCATAAAGTAAAAAAGGATTGAAAAATCAAGTGATCAGAACTTCAGGGAGCTGTGGGATCACTTGCATCACTAGAATCACAAGTAAAGGAGACAGCATGCGGTACAGATTTTTTTTTAAACTAGTGGTTGAAAACTTTCTAAATTTGGTAAAATACGTAAGATTCATGAAGCTCAGCAAATCCCGAACTGGACAAACACAAAGGAATTAATTCTCCTAAAACAGAGCTTGAAATACAAGAAATAAAAAAATGTATGTGCCAACGCAACGATGGAAAAAATGACAAATACATAATAACAATGGAAAAGCTAACATTTCTTTCTTAATAATCAATAGAAAAAGTAAACAAAATTAACAAATATATAGAAGGCTTGAACCTTATCAACAAATTTTTCTTGACATTTATAGAACATTCTGTGCCCACTGTTAGCAAAATATGAATTCCTTTCAAAGCATATGAAACCTTCACCAAGATAGATCATAGCTTGGGTCATATAACAAATGTCAACAAATTTAAAAGAACTGAAATCTTATGAAGCATATTGTTTAACTAAAACAGAATTAAGATCAACAGAAAGATATCATCTTTCCAACATTTGAAAATTAACATATTTCTATATTAACCATGTGCAAGGAGGACGTCACAGAGAAACTAAAAAACATTTTGAATGTAATGAAAATAAAAACACAATATAAGTATAAAAAAGTAAAAATAAGCTAGAGTATTTTGAGGGAAACTTAATAACTTTGTTTATATTAAAAAAGAAAATCAATGATCTATTTCACCTTTGGCAAGCAGAAAGATAAAAGCAAAATAAACCTAAAGAAGGAAAGAATAAGAACATAAATTAATGAAATTAAATACAGAAAAAATAAAAAACACAACAGGAAATCAATGAAACCAAAAGCTGGTTTTTGAGGGACACTGATAAATCCCTAGCTAGAATAATGGAAAAAGTTACAATTATTAGGCCCAGGATTGAGAGAGGTAATGTCACGCTGATCTTATAGACAAAGACTAATTAAGACTCATTAGAGGATATTATGAATAACTCTGTTCAAAAATCTAATAACTTAGATAAAATAGATAAAACACTAAAGCTCATTCAACAAGAAATAGATGACTTGAGTCATACACCTATTTAAAAAATTAAATTTTAAATTAAAAACCTTCCAGTAACAGTATTTTAATTCATTTCATTCAACTCAAAAACTGATTTGACAACTGAATTTTTATATTTTCTCCTACATAAGAATTTTAATGTATATATATTGAAATAAATTTTGCCCTTTTAATGATTGAAGTGTACAAAAAAAAATTATGTTTCTAGAAATAAACTAAATGACCATCAAAAAAAGCTTACTTGTATTCAAATATTCATTTCACAATGATATGAAAGAGGCCATTTTATTACAAAGTTAAGAAAAAAAAGACGTGTAAATTTCTGCCACCTTTTTGTTTTATAATCTCAATCATTACCAGAATCCTGTTGTTTAATGGCTACAAAAGAATATGAACTCAGTATTTCCACTGGATGGTATAAAGGATATTATTAAGGCCCAAGGTACCTGAAATTCAGAGGTATTTCCTTTACTAAAAGGAAATACAGATATTCAATCTTGACATAATTTCATGAGGTAGGAAACCATCTTAATTATAAAAAAAGAGGGAATTGATTATCATGACTTAAGGAGAAATTGATGCTTGGGTAACTGAATAATTTCACCAAGATTATACAGTTTAGTAGAGATCGAATTTGAATCTGGATCTGTCTCTTCAGTTCATCCACTCACCCATCTGGCCGTCTGCTATGGATTCCAGTATGAAGCATACAAACTCTAACTTGTTTTATTTCACGTTACCTTCTTTTGTAGCCTCAAAGAGTTCATGCTCATTTCAAACAAGCTTCCTCAGTAGAGGAAGACAACTGAACAGAGGGATGGCAGTAACAAAGACAGACAAATCATTCTGAAGCTTCTGCTGCTTTGGACATTATTTTGAAGAGAGAATCCAGTAACATTATTCTGCATATTCATAGATAACTCATACTGAGATAAATGAGCAAATACGCAAACTTTTGGAAGTAAAAATAGGTATACAACCATTGGTAGCTACCTGACCTGCTTTCTTTTAATGAAAGTAAACTTTAAACTAGGGAAGTTTCAAAAGCTGTCCCTGATAGATTTAGTCTATACAGACTTGATGTTAGCATTATCACAGTTCTCTTGTAGTGACTGTTCCCAAGAATGTGCCTGTTGTAGCCACACAAAAATTTTAGCAAATGAGATTTTATTAGGATTTTGGTAATTCTGTCAAGAATTTTGGGTACAATTTAGCATTGTGATTTACTACTTAATAACTACTGTTTCGTTGGGGAAAGTTTTTAGTTTAATTTGTCTGAAAAAATTACTGCATCTTTGCAAGTGATTTACAGTGATGAAAAAAGAGCCTCCTGATGTCAAACAATGTATTCTTTCATTGGGAGAGAAAAATACTTACGGTTGAGCCCCAATTTCTCGTAGATGATAAAAGAGCTGGGGGAGATAAGTTTGAAGAAGAGTTTCAAACAGCAAGCAGAGTGACACAATGCCCTGCCCAAGAGAGACACACGTTTTAGTGTTTAAAAATGAGATCTGCCAACAAATTACTCAAATGGAAATGAGAATTAGGTTTCAGTATAAATCTTCTTTAAATATTTTAAATATGTTTTATATTAAGAGTTAAAACCAGGAAATGTATTAACTTAATCCTCCTTGGATACCATTCCTAGGCTAGAGTCTCCTGTTTAACCCATAGCGTTCCCGTGGAAGCTGGCATGCTGTATTCAGAATTCAAGGAAAACATCCCTTCTAGAAAACCTGCTCTACTTTGCAAGCTGCGTAATATCACTTAGGCCCAGCAGAATTAGTTTTTTCTGGAGGCATTCCAGCTTCCAGGTATTTCTCTGGTGTGACAGCCACACCCCTTGCTTTCTCCCTCACATCCCTTCCCTTTCAGCTGCCTCACCCAAGAAGAAAAATATTTCCTGCTTTTTTCACTCTTTCTTTGAAATTCATCCCCAGGGGAAAGACTGCTGACTGTTTGAAATTTGCATCAGGAAGTTATCAAACAACAGTGTTTGACTACTTAGTTTAAAGGTAGTTTTTTTGTACTGAAATCTATTGTTTTAAGGGCATTACTTATAGAGTGCAAGAAGTCACCGATTTAAGCAGTGGTTTTTCAAGTGCGTTTATTACTTCACTACTCTGAATAAAGTCTTTCTTGTAGCTCAGCATTCCTCATGGCTGATCTTTGTAAGGAAGTTTTAATCCTCTTTCTGAGTTTCTAAAGAAAAAAAAGGTTGTTATGGTTCCAAACAGTTCAGCCTGGCTGCAGGCCAGAAAAGAAGCCCCCATCCACTGGATGAAGGGACAGGGCAAGGCTGGTCCAGTCAACCAGCTGAAAATGGACACCTCAGGGTCAGCATGAGGCTGGGAGGGAATATCCAGAGTGGCTTAGTGTACAGCTTCAGTATTCTGCATAGGGAAAACACCAGGAATGTATGCGGGACAACTCGTTAAATGTTTTTGAACTCAAAGCTTAATTTGTGGAATATGAGAGCAAAAAAATCTGATGCTAAGAATAAAGTATTATAAAAGAGAAACACTAACATATTTCTAATTATTCTAGGTTAAATGTTAATGTAAGATAAGCACTAAATTAACTTGTCTCAGAGAGAAGAAACCCAGGATAATTGATGATCTTCATTTGTTCTTCTGTGACATCCTGTTGTTTGACAACTTGTATTAGCAAAGCATAAAAGCAAAATTGGAGCTGGAGGAAGGCAGAACAGGAAGGCATAGGGTTAAACTGAGGAAAGAACAGCCATTTAATTTATTAGCAGTGATACAGTTTCTCTTTGAGAAAATGTGGTCACCTTGACACTTTCCAGTATAATGTTTCTTTTGAATTCTGTCAAGTCACCCTTAAAGCAGGGCCCAAGGAGGAAAAAGTATAGCAGAAATGAAATAAATACTCAGGCTTGTAGGTGAAAAAATACATGGTAAAGGACTAGCTAAATTAAAACAGATAAAAATGTTCCACCCCTGATCTGCTTCCATTGAGGCCAAAGAACTATCTATGGAATAAACATACAAAAATACCTAGTATGCTAACTGCCATAGGAAATTTACAAAAAAGTGACAAACATTTGATTTTCATGAACAGAAGAAAGATGACAATGACAGTGATCACAACACAGAAACAACAACAGCAGCCATTTATTCACGGCACCCCTGTCCTGAGCCGAGTACGTCTTCTCCGTAGACATTTTCAGCATTATAGTAGCATACTGTGAACCTCATTTCACAGATGAGGAAGCCAACATTAAAAATCTGAGTACTTTATGTCTTTTTAAAAATCTGAGTACTTTTTGTCTTTTAACATATAAAAGATATTTTAAATGCAATCAGTAAGAACTTTTTGCTCTCTATTACCATAAATATTTAGATATCTATTTTTTCAGTTGATAGAAATAAATTGTGTGACGTTACGTATTAAAATCTGATGCTTTACAATTTAATTGAGTAAGAGACTTTTTAAAGGAAAGAATGAACAGATTAAAGTATGTTTGATTCATTTTTTATGAACTTACAGAAGGATGAGAGGAGATGGAATGGAGCCTGAAGAAAAAACGCACGTACATCTCACGGAATATCTGATACAATTTTGAAGGTTCATGATATAGAAAACAAAGTGGTGCAACTGAAAAACAAAAAAGTAATTGATAACATTGCAGAACTACTAAATTTTATTTTTAAAATTTTAAAAATAAGTTTCATGAAACGTGAAAAACTAAACAGTATTTTATATTAACATTCACTCATAAATTTAAAATATCTATATTGGCTTTTCCTGCTGAAAAGGAAATATATGCATAAATAGTTCAAAGAGTCATTCAAAATTATAAAGAAAAGAATAAAGTATAAGCTACTGTAACTCCTAATCCCAATTTAGCAGTCACATAAGAATTACATAATGGAATTACATAAAGATATTAAAAATTCCAAGTTAACTTCTAAAAACTACATAAAGTCAACTCTCTTAAAAATTTTTTTGAAGTAGTAAGAAAGCAATAATAAGGCAATGAATTTTTACTTCGTTTTGTAAAGAGTACAGGTTACTTTACAAAATTTTTCATTTTTGAAGTCTGATAAGTAAAATATAAGACAGTTTATGGCTAACTTTAAGGAGCATGGTTTTCAACTAGTTCTATTTGAAAATAAAAATTTTGATTAACAGTTTAGACTTCTTAATCTACAGTGGCATATTTCAATATGTATCAAGATAGTTTTTACAGACTCAAAACAATTCACTGGCAGAGTCATTGAATTTAATTTTCTCTTGCACCCAGTTCTTAGCAATCAAACACAGTTGGATCAAGTCAACAAACACCCCATAGCAAAATGTCAGAAAGTCCTGATACTGATCCAACAAAATAAGTAGTCTATTCTGGGCCTTCCCTAGTGGCACAAAATGTTAAAGTGCAGCATTATGAAGCCAGTTGCAGCCACTTCAGCACACGTTCAAAACCTGGCCAGGGAGGTGACCCACATGATGCTGCAGACCTCTCCTGACCCGCCCACTGCTCCCCTCAGCAGTGCACTTCATCAGTCTGCCTGTTCTGCTCCCTGCTCTGTCTCTGGTGAATCCACTCACTGCCCTTGCACCTCTGGTTTGTACCCCAGTTCTGTATGCATAAATAAATAGTTCTTTAAAAAAAAAAAAAGTAGTTACTCTGACAAATAAGGTCATGCATTTCATCTTTTTAAGCCTAAGAATACTAAGCAGCATAGGCACATTTATAATGTGCATACATAAACTGCACATAACATACATGAACTAATAAAAAGTAACTTACTTGTTGGCCAATTCCAACTATGAAATAAACTGTAAAGGTAAGAAGTTCTGGGGTTTTATAAACTGTCAAGAACGTCCTGAGGACACTAGGCATTAAGGAACCAGTGAGCCAACTCAACTCACTTATTTTTGACAAAGTGAAAGGGATAGTAATGAAATCGTTTCAATTTTTACAAATACAAAAATTCAATTATCTGTGATGGATGGGAGTATTCATCAGTACTGCTGATGAGTAATTATCAAAAATTAGCATTGTAAGTAACAGGCAAAAATCAATGGCACATACTGCACCCTGAGAAATGTCAGCAGATTTAAACTTCCTTGACATTGTTAACCATCCACCAAATCACTCAAATATACCTTTTAAAACCTATGTACTTGAAAATACTTGCTGCTGGAATTATTAAAATAGAGTAGTAAAAGGGCTAACATTTTTATCAGTAGAAGTAAAAATTCATATTCCTTTTTTTTCTCAGCTTCAGTTTCATTGAGGTTTAATTGGCAAATAAAATCGTAAAATATTTGAACTGCATATCATGATGTTTAGAGAATTTATATTCTTGTTTATTATTTTATTTTTGAAAATTTATATTCTTAACATTTTAAAGTTTTCAATTTTAAATGCCTTACATATTTATAAGAAAGATATATGACAGAACGTCACTGTAACTATGTTATAGTTATATAGTTATGTCAGGGAATTATGCTGCCCAAGAGAACAAAGCAATTCAGTACCATCAAGGGCAGTTCAGTGCAAAGTTGCCAGTACTTTAATGTCTTTTACTATATGCTAGTTTTAAAAACTGTCATTCACCACGGTTGATGCTGAAAACTGAAGGTTTTTTTTTTTTTTAAAGATTTATTTGTACACACAGAACTGGGGTACAAGCCAGAGGCTGAGGGGCGGCGAGAGGCTTCACCAGAGACAAAGTGGGGAGCAGAACAGGCAGATCGATGAAGTACACTGCTGAGGGGAGCAGCGGGCGTGTCAGGAGAGGTCTGCCACGCCATGTGGGTCACCTTGGGGCAGGTGGGAATCGAACTCATGCGAAAGTGGCTTCAG